TCCCCGATCCTTCGAGAATATCATGACGTGTTACCAGAGTCACGTGACTACCGCTCTCGTAACAATATATTATCCATAATAATAATTTGTTGTTCTTATGCGTAATACTTCACACAACAGTTACCTGTTGATGTAGTCGAAATGTTGTTATAAAGTTGAACAAAAAATACAGTCCACTCAAAAGCTGCATCTCTGTTGATCATTTAATTCAAATACATTGTTTACTTATTGTTGATTTAATTACAAAAACTTTATTTACCGTTTTAACATGTGTACGACTAGTACTCGGAATGTTGTTTGTTTGTTTGAAGTTAAGCACAAAGCTACACATTGGGCTATCTGTGCTCTGCCCACCACGGGTATCGAAACCCGGATTCTAGAGTTGTAAGTCCGCAGACAAACCGCTGTTGTTTGTTCCGGTAAGTACTATAATCTGACATACTTGATTTTAATATTCCTTGAATAATGTAATTAGAGAAAATAATTACATTTTCTACTAGGCCTGAGTGATACTAAATATTTCAGCCTCAGTTTTGTTTAAACGTACAAACTTATTAAATTAATTAAATACCTAAACGCTATTTTCCAAATCTCTTTCAGAGAACAAAAGGCCAGTCAAACTCGCCTCTGGAAGTAACTGATACACGATACTGTCAAGCTTAATTGAAGGAAGTTAGTTGTCATTACAATGGTTTTCATCCAGAGGTATCGGACCAACCGATACTTACTTTGGCCAAAGATGTATTTATAAACATTCAAATGAATTATTGTATATCATAAAAGACAAAGTTTCACTGACTTTAATAAGTAAAAATTAAAATTACTAAACTTAATTATAAAACATTTATATTTAGAAAAAATAAATTATTAGAAATATTATGTTAATAATTGCTTTGTCTAACAAAATTAAAAGAAATTTCTAAAAAATAGCTTTATAACTAGGCCAGGACGAATACAATATAAAGTATTGGCGCTTACCTTATGTAATAATTATTTAATATTATATTGAAATGAGCTATATAGTGCTTTAAAAATTAAAGGCTGTGGTTTTTTTTATCATATAACATCATCTCAACCGCTTGTTGTTTAATGAGTAATTTAAGTTCACCTTTAAAGCTCAACTATGCCTCTAGATATATTTTACGGCTTATCCGTCAAGGTCTGCCATCTAGTGGTATTATAGTCACATGCCATAACATGAGATAAGTTGCGCGAATTTCTATAGATGGAAGTAGTATAATATGCTGGAAACATCTTGTAGAGAACCAATAGTCCTCCAAGTAGATAGGTCATTTATATTCATAAACATCAAGAAATTTCTACATTTTAATAATTTTCTCCTTGATTCAAAAGGAGTTCTTACAGACACCCATCTTAGGCGTTATTTGAGGTTAGGCCTCCATTTTAATCTTAATAAAAAGGATTTACTACCTAGATAAGGAAGTGTAGTAGTGATCGAACGTTTATGAACTAAATGTACTTTCGCAGATTCCCCGAAAGTGTTATTTTTTTCAAGAATAAATAAAACTAAAATTAAGGATAACAAATATCTTTATTTCTCGCATTTGAGATTCACATGTCATACTGTGTTGTAGCCTATAGAGTGCATAATTCTTCTCGTGATTCATGACATGCGCACGTTTTACTGACGTTATTACAGTACAAATTGCAATTTTAAGTGTCCCTTATGTGACGTCATTTTGGTGTCTACTGGCTGATTAACAGACAACACGCTACTGTAGAGTGGTGCAAATGGTTAAAACAGATGACCCCTCCAGGCGGCCTTCGGCCCCCTTTCGAGTAAATTACCCGAACGAGAGAAATTTTACTGACCTATTAGTTTACTTAGTATTTGCCTGCCATTTTTATCAGTAACTGTAAC